AGGAGGAGGAGGAGGAGCAGGAGGAGGAGGAGGAGGAGGAGGAGCAGGAGCAGGAGGAGGAGGATGAGGAGGAGGAGGAGGAGGACGAGGAGGAGGAGGAGGAGGATCGGGCGCGGCCAGGCTGTCCATGGAGCCTGGGGAGAAGTCCGACTTCTCACGTCCGCGGAGCCCGTGGAGCCCGCGGAGCCCCCGCGAGCACGAGATCACCCACTTCGTGGTGCCCGCGTGCGCACCCCAGGGGTTCCCGCTGGCGCGCGCCGCCTTTGGTGTGCTGGTTGTTCGTTTGTTTGCTTGATCTTTAGTTTTTTTCTTTTCTTTGTTTGTTTATTTATTTGTTGATTTGTTTAGCGTAGCACCCCGCAGTCGCGGATCAGATTGAGGGGGCGGCGGGCGACCTGCAGTCTGCGACGTTCTGAAGAAGCCCGCCGCAGGCGCCTAATCTTTACAATTTATGCAACGATCCCGCCGCAGGCGCCGATTTTTCGTTAAGACAATGTGGGTGGGTCGCGGGGCGGGTCGCGGGTGGGGTCGCGGGTGGGTCGCGGGTTTGTCGCGGGCCGGGTCGCGGGTGGGTTGCGGCCCGGGTCGCGGGTGGGTCGCGGGTGGGGTCGCGGGGTGGGTCGCGTGTGGGTCGCGGGTCGGGTCGCAGGGGGGACGAAGCCAAACAACAGCACCAACAACAGCAACAGCAACAACAACAACAACCACATCAACAACAACGACAACAATATCAACAACAATAACCACAACAACATCAGCAACAACAGCAAGTAATACCACCACCAACAACAGGAGCAACAACAAGAATCCGCATCGCGGAATCCCATTCCAGCCACGCACCCAGGGACTGGATGACCGTTCTGCCCCTCACTCTGATTTGTTTGTTTGCTGGTTTGTCGTTTGTTGCTTTGCTTGTGTGTGCATGTGCGGTGTTAAGAATCTTGGCTCAATCCATAGAGAAATGGTCCATTGCCCCACTTGTTTTTGCCCTAGCAATCGCCCAGCTATCCGCATGGCTTCCTCCTATCCGCGTGGCTTCCTACTATGCGCATGGCTTCCTCCTATCCGCATGGCTTCCTCCTATCCGCATGGCTTCCTTCTATGCGCATGGCCTCCTTCCATGCGTATGGTCTCCTCCTACCCGCATGGTTCATACATCGGCGTTCCCAGAACTCGTCGAGCTCAGAAGTAGAGTGGAGTAGAGTAGAGAAGAGTAGATGAGTAGAGTCGAGCAGATTAGAGTAGAGTGGAGTAGATCGAGTAGTGTAGAGTAGAGTAGAGCAGCGTATATCGAATCGACTAGAGTAGCGTAGATCGAGTAGAGAAGACTATTTCGAGTAGAGTAGAGTAGCGTAGATCGAGTATCAAAGAGTAGAGCAGCTCTGCTTGTAGCCCTGTTAGCTCTGGTGGCAAGCTGTGCAAACCGTCTTCGATGTATTCGGCGTAGAAGTTGTGCTCGTGGTGCCCGTTATAGGCGTCGCTGTCGTTAGTCCACTGGTACTTTCACGACGACCTACGTGCCCGTGTTAGAATCGTGTTCTACCGCGTCCATTGCTTGTTCGTCTAGGCAAAAGGTACCTCTTGTCTCACAATCCGTATTCACAGTCTCCTCCTTCTCCTCCTCCTCCTCCTCATTCTCACCTCCCACCCCTCGCCCGCCGCCGATGCAAAAGCGCGACCCCTCGCCCCCGCGGCGTCCCTGAGGCACGCGACCCTGTCGGTGGACGTGGAGCTGTCCGCCTTCAGATCCAGGCGGCCGGGGGGGCTCCTCCTTCTCTGCCTCCTCCGCCTCCTCCTCCTCCTCCTCCTCCTCCTCCTCCTCCTCCTCCTCCTCCTCCTCCTCCTCCTCTCCTTCCTTCTCCTTAGAGAGGGGGCTCCCGTTCGAGACCTCCTCGCAGTTCTCCTTGAGACGAGGCCCCCGCACGAGGCAGCCTCGAATTCTGCGGAGCAGGCAGAGCTCCGTGGGGAGGCGCTCAAGCCATTCCTGTTAGATGGGTTCTCTGCGCTCGTGGGCTGAAACTATGTTTGGACGTGGGTTCCGTTCGCTTGTAAGGTCGAACCATGTTTTGTTACATGGTTGTTTTCGTTCGGGAGCGCAATCTGCGAGCGGGCGCGCACAGCATCAACACCATTGTTCAATTTCCGAATCAAGTTCTGAGCTTCCAGACCGATTCATGCATGGCAGATAATGCAGGATACGCTCCGCCCCTGTTTGTACTAAGTGAAGCATGGGTCTATGGACATCGTTTTTCATGGAAAGGCCGATCGGGGGGGGCGCACGTCGAGTTGCCTCTCACGAAACGAATTTTTTTTCGGTGGAGCATCGGGCCTTTCTTAACGTGCAGAAATCCGCCAGCCCACCTCTGTCGAGGCAAGAGGCTCCCGCAGCTGATCCTGGACCAGCGCCATTTCCCAGAAAATCAGGATGGTGTTGTTCGCCCTCTCCCCCTCCCCCTCTCCCTCTCCCCCTCCCTCCTTCCTCCTTGCCTTCCCCTCTCCTCTCCTCTTCCCTTCTCCTTCCCCTTCCCGTCTTCCTTTCCTTTCCTTTCCCCCTTCTCCCTTCCTTTTCTTCTCCTCTTTCCTTCCCTTCTCCTCCCCCTCTCCTCCTGCCCCTCCTGGTTCCTCTTCATCCGCATGGCCCGCCCCCCTGCCCCTGCCGACCGGTCGCCTTGGGCCCCACCGCCAGAATGCGTGTGTGTGTGTGTGTGTGTGTGTGTGTGTGTGTGTGTGTGTGTGTGTGTGTGTGTGCGCGCGCGCGCGCGCGCGCGCGCGCGCGCGTATGTGCGTGTGTGTGTGTGTGTGTGTGTGTGTGTGTGTGTGTGTGTGTGTGTGTGTGTGTGTGTGTGGGTGTCCATCGGGGGCTGGCCGATTTTTCCGGGCCCGAGCCCGCGGGGTTTGGCCTCCAGGGGGCTCTGTCGAACGTGGCTACGCCACCCCCCGAGCCCACTGCCTCGGAGTCGTGCCCCGAGGCGCCGAGGGCCTCTCGTCGAGCCGCTGCGGGTGTGGACGCTCCCTGGCGCTGCGTCGACGCCTTCCCCCTAAGATGTCGTCGATGCGATGGGCTCCCCAGCGGGGGTCGGGAGCAGAGCCCGCAGAGGGCACGCACGTACACCACCGCCAGCCCCTGAGCAGGTAGGAGACATGAGGTATGACGTTAGGGGAATATATCTAGGAACATGCAGGAGCAGGAGGAGGGAGGCAGGAGGAGGTTAGGAGGTAGGAGGATATAAGATTGGGTAGGATGCAGAAGGAGGCATGAGGAGGTGTGATAGCTAGGATGAGGAGGACGAGGAGGATGATGATGAGGAGGAGGAGGAAGGCAGGGGCGTGGTGTATCTGACAGGGGCCGGAGCAGATTTGTTGGGGTCGGAGACTGGCGCCTGGCTTTCTCTCCATTGGGACGTCGCATGCCGGCGATGCGGCGCGATCTTCCGACCCCCTCTACTCTGGCCCCGTTCGAGAGGCCTTCCATGCAGTCAAGGCGCTCAAATATGGAACTTTTTCGGGTCTGGGAGGAGCTCGCGGTTCCTTAGGGGTCATTCCACGGCTGTCCTTTTCTCGCCCCTCGTGCCCCCCGGCGAGTTCGGGGCAAGCAAATGGTTTCGTTCCTGGTTTAGCGTTCCTTGTGGTGGTATCTCGAATGTCCCGAACGTCGCCGGCGTTCGGCGATGCGTCGGCGATGCGGTGCGAGCGGTCTCTGATAAAGTCATGACGCTGACATAGGGAACATTTCGGGTTCGGAAGGGGCTCGCTGTTGTTCCCCGGGATCTTCCACTGCAGCAGCGCTTCTTGGCTAGCAGCTCGACTTGATACAGTCGAATCGATGATAACGATGAGTAAACTCCCCAAGGGTATCCTTGCATCCTTGCCTCGTCGGTCCATCCTTGGCTGGTTTCGATGGCTGGCCCGCTCTTAGCTCGAACAGCTTCGACGTGGGCGTCCAAGGGGTTCACATCCTTATCGCTCATCCTTACGAACAACTTTGATTCTGGATGCCTTTGAGTACACAGCTCCCCCAGTTGTGGCCGGGCAGGACTCGGCTGCCCGGCAACGGCCAGCGGCCGCGCGCCGGTGACAGCGTTGTGGCGCGGCTGCGCGGTGTGCGTGCCAGGCCCCAGCGGGCTGCGTTTCCTCGTTCGTCGTCGTCGTCGTCGTCGTTTCCGCTGCCGCCGTCGTCGGCATGTCGTTGTCGTCGCCGCTGCCGCCGTCGTCGTCGTTGTCGTCCTCCTCCTCCTGGTTATCGTCCTCTCCTCTTCGGTCAGGACAGTCTGGGTTCGGAAGGGGCTCGCTGTTCCTTAGGTCCTTCCTTGGTTGCTTCTCGAGAGCTCCTTGTGCACCCAGGCCCTTGTGGGGCCAAAAGGTGCCTAGCTCCTCTGTCTCGCGTTCCTTGTGGTGTCAGCTCGGTTGCAGGAAGCAAAAACAAGCGACAGGCAGAAGCTTGCGGAGGTCCGCGCGGATCTGTCGGCCCTGCGCTGGCCTCCCCCGCCTCCCCGCACTTCCGAGCGGAGCGTCAGGCGTCGCCCCCAGCGCAGGGGAATCGGGTCGCAGGTAACCAGGGGCCCTGACGGGGGTCAGGCTATCCCCTCTGATCCTCTCCAGTTGACCTGGGTTTGGTAGCAATGCCTCGAGGGAAGAGACACGATGAGCATGACCATTGTGTCTCGGGATCCTGGTCCTGGTCCATGGCGGCCGTCGCCGATGCGCAAGGATGACCCGCGAATACGCCGACCAAGGAGGGCGATGGCCAACCGCGCTCAGTCCTGTCGCGGTCCTCGCTTTCTCTTACCCACCAGCGCAGAGCACGCCCCCCCCCTCCTCCTCCTCCTCCTCCTCTTCTCCTCCTCCTCCCTCCTCCTCCTCCTCCCTCTCCTCCTCCTCCTCCTCCCTCCTCCTCCTCCTCCTCCTCTCCTCCTCCTCCTCCCCCTCCGCCTCCTCCTCCCCCTCCGCCTCCTCCTCCTCCTCCTCCTCCTCCTCCTCCTCCTCCTCCTCCTCCTCCTCCGCCTCCCCCTCGTGCTCCTCCTCCTCGTGCTCCTCCTCCTCCTCGGGTCGCCTACGGCCCTGGGGGACACCGTGCAGTGATGGCTAGGGGTGGTTGGACATCATGGCCAAGGCCATGATGTCTCCCCAGGCTCGTGGCGGTCGTAGTCAGCCAGCGGGGCGCGGGCCGAAAGCTGCCGTGCAGGGCTGAGCGCCTCCCTGCGGGTTGCGGCATGCGCCCGTCCGAACCAGGGGCCGCGCGGGCCGAGGTCGGAGCCGCGCGGGCCACGCCCTGCAGGAGGGGAACAACGACACAGACACAGAGAATCGTCGATGCCCAGGAGTAATCTGGGGGAAAATAAGGGGAGTGGGAGGAGGGGGAGGAGGAGGAGGAGGAGGAGGAGGAGGAGGAGGAGGAGGAGGAGGAGAAGGAGGAGGAGGAGGAGGAGGAACATCCAGAAAATATGAAAAAGTATCGGATCCTGGGATTTGTGTTGACTCATTTGTGTGTCCCTGGGCCCCTCCAGTCCTGGGCAGCACAGGCCGAGTCCGGCTCCGTGCGGCGCTGCGCTCGCGTGCGCTCGAAATGATGCTGTCGGGATTCCTGCTTCAGCGCTGAAGCGGAGAAGCCACATCAGCGGCTCGCGGGATAGAACGGACGTGCTGGGAAGAGGCTTTCAGCCCGCAGTGCTGGCACAAGTCGGTGGCAATGGTGATGGTGTCGGGACTCCTACCTGAAACGCTGCGGCTGGCAGGCCAGATCCATGGACCTTGGGCTAGGTAGAGGGGGTGAGTGTAATGTGCGGTTCAGGGGCCGTGAAACCAGAATCCTGGTACAGAGTCTGCGGACGGTGAGGACCTGGAGGGGAGGGCGAGGGTGACCGCGGTTCGGTCGGCTCGGCTGCGCGTCGCTGCTGGTCGGTTCTGTTTGGTTCGATCGATTGTTGTGTCGCTGCCGCGTCGCTGGCGCCCTTCGGTAGGTTTTCGGTCGCGCTGTCGCCGTGGACGGGCTTGGAGGAAGTGGGCGAGTTGGAGGGGGAGGAGGTCGAGGTCGTGGAGGAGGAGGAGGAGAGGGGGAGGCAGGAGGAGGGATGAGGAGAGAGAAGGGAGGAGGGAGGGAGGATCACTGACCAAAATGCCAGGTCAGCGAGCGGGCCGCCATTGAACAGTCCCGCGAGAGCGCTAGGCGCAATGAGGAATTACCAATGGGGGACACCCATTGCTTGGGGAAACCCCAACTCGCAGCCTGTGAAAGGGGGTTGCTAACGAGGGCCCGCCCTGGCTAGCAGCCCCAAATCGAAAACACTGTGCCCGGCGAGGTGGATGAGCAGAGGAGAGGCCTGCGTTGAAAACGCCGGCTCCCTCTCGTGAAGGGACAAGTGGGGGAGGTGAGGAGGAAAGGGCCTGCGTTGAAAACGCCGGCTCCCTCTCGTCGAGGGCGGCTCCCTCTCGTGGAGGGCGGCTTAATCTCGTTGAGGGCGGCTCCCTCTCGTGGAGGGCGGCTCCCTCTCGTGAAGGGCGGCTCCCTCTCGTGGAGGGCGGCTCCCTCTCGTGGAGGGCGGCTCCCTCTCGTGGAGGGCGGCTCTCCCTCGTGAAGGGCGGCTCCCTCTCGTGGAAGGCGGTTCCCTCTCGTGGAGGGCGGCTCCCTCTCGTGGAGGGCGGCAAGAGAAGGAGGCGGAGCGGGCCAGAATAGGGGATGGGATGGGGGAGCGGGCGAGAGAAGTGGAAGGGAAAGGGGCAAGGGGGCTGCCGTGAGTGAGGGGAAGAAAACTTCGCCCCAGTCCACGCTTGGACACAACACTTCCCTATTCTTGTGGCGTAGCTGAGGAGTGGCATTCGCCCCAGCCCACGCTCGGTCGAAAAGGTGGAAGGCACACCCACCAACAGCCATAGAAACATTCCGTCGTGACATATTCACGACGTGATAGGGGTCTGGGCCCCTCGGCCCTCCTCCAAAGGACTGGAAAAGGTGAAAGGCACACCCACAAACAGCCATAGAAATGGTCCTCCCGGGGGGTGGGGGAGGACGAGAGGGGACGGGGAAGAGGGAGGAGGGAGAGTGGGGAGGGGGAGACTGGGGGAGGTGAGGAGGAGAGGCCCTGCGTTGAAAAACGCCGGCTCCCTCTCGTGGAGGTCTGGCGGTGGGGGAGGCGAGGAGGAGAGAGCCTGCGTTGAAAACGCCGGCTCCCTCTCGTGCAGGGCGCTCCCTCTCGGGGGGCGCTCGGGAGGGAGGGAGGGAGGGAGGAGGAGGAGGAGGAGGCGGAGGAGGAGGAGGAGGAGGGGGAGGAGGAGGAGGGCGGAAGAGGAGGAGGCGGAGGAGGAGGAGGAGGAGGACGAGGAGGGTGGAGGAGGTGGACGTGGAGGATGGCGGAAAAGAGCCGGGGCGCCTACCTGCCGCTCCCTGCCCGCAGGGCTGGCCCGCCCAGCGACGCGGGGCCGGGCCAGTGGAGGACGGTGGACATGCCCTTGGCGACCGGGCTGCCAGCAGGAGGGGCGAGGGCAGGCTACAGTCGGACCGAGGCGAAAGATCGAGGTCGGTTCGGGGAGGGTATCCCAGTGCTCTTCGCGTTTGTTGGATGCTACCTGTTTGTTTTGGCAGACGGAGGGCCTCAGGTTCTAGAGGGATGCTCTTCTGGCCCAGGTCCGACTTTACGCGTACAGAGTGGCCCGTCGCCGGAGCGACCTCTCCTCAGATCCGGGCGCCTCCGTCTTTTGCACCTGGAGTAATTCCCCCGGTCTCGGATTCGTGGACTACGAGTGCGCCATAAACAGTGGCGCAGAAAGATGGGGTCTGGGGTGCAGGCCGTGATTGTCTACGATGCCTCAATGCCTAAGGGTTGGTGCGGGCCCACCAGGATCAGGAGGGAACAAACACACAGACACGATTCTTCATCGCCGATTCCCCAGAAAATTTTTGAAAATACGGGAAGTGGGGGGGGGGAAGGCAAACCTCCAGAAAACAGTGGAACATACGGGGAATCCTGTTGTTTGTGTCTGTTTCTCTGCGTGTCCCAGGGCCCCTTCACAGGAGAGATCCCCTCCAGCATCCGGCCTGCGCGCGCGGACTTGGGCCCTCCCCCTGGCGGCGCCCCCCTGGAGGCCGCGCGCCAGGTGCCGCCTTCTGCCCAGGGTCGTTCTCGCGTGCAGCCGGCCAGGGGTGGGATCGGGGATGGGCAGAGCCCCCCCACCAGCGACACGTCGACTAGTGAATTGTCCGTTTTCGGTTCTCGAGAGGGCGCCGCGGCCGTCAGTTTCCAGGCTTGCGCCCGCCAGGTTTGGGCCTCGGGCCGTTTTCGCTGAACCACGTTTTACTAAAGGGAGGTCTGTCCATCCCCGATGGGAATGCAGCTTTTACCTTGGGCCGCCAGCGCCTTGAAACCATTTTGTGTATGTGTGTGTGTTTTTGCTGCCCCCCTCTTCTGTTTGTTCTCTGCCTCTCTCTCTCTCTCTCTCTCTCGCTCCCCCATTCGCTTCTATAGGGTTTATCATGCGTGCCATTGCTTGTTTTGCTTGTTTTCGCCGCTCATCCCGCTTGTATGATTACTGTTGTCGACCCGCCCAGATCAGTAAGCGTCCTTTTCGGGCTCTGGCGCGAGCTGCATTAAATAATACTTACCCTCCGTCCGTGTATCGTAGTTTTACTACACGTGTGGTCGTTGGTTTTGACGGAGTCGCAAGCGAGAACCCCCATTTTGCAAAGTGGCCGCCCGTCATCCGTGCATGCAACAGTAGGGTAATTAACTTTATACATGTGGTAGCAACTGTTGAATCTTGTTGAGGAGTGTCAGGCGAATGTCCCATTTTGAAAACGAACCGCCATCAATCCGTGTATCTCTTGGGTTTTTAAGGCGAGTGTTCGCGGCGCCAAGGCGATAGCCAAATGTTTAAACTCTCACGACATCCATCCGTGAAGCTCTTGGGATTTTTCAAAACGGATGTGTCCAGCGCCGTTTTGAAAACCATTCGCCCCATTCGTGCAGTAGCTGTCGGGAGCTTCACGCTTCAATATCGTGAGCAGTTAGGACGTCTCAGGCGAGATGCCTGGCCCGCCCTGAATAAAAGTTTGGTGACGCAATAAGAAGGTGATTACAAGAAAGCAGAAAAGAGGAGGGCAGGATGGATTATCGAGGGCGGCGCGCAATTCCAACATGGACTTTTCCTGGGGTGCGTTCCGGCCAGGCTTGCTTTCGAAGGGAAACCAGCGGTGGCGGCGAGAATTTTGAAACCTTCCTCACACCGCACAAACGACCATAATCTCAATCATCGAACACTGGTCATCGAACCTGGTTCCTTGATCATCGATTCTTGAGCCTCGAGTCTTCGCACCTCGATCGACGACGCCGATTTCCGATCCTGGCCAGTTTTCTCGAGCTGCGCCCAAAACATGGCGATGAAGAAATCCATCGACGCCGAAAGCCATCGACACGAATGAGGACGTTGCCGTCGTCGACGACCCCTCGGGAGGGCCGAAGGTGTCTCAGCTGGCATCTTCCGAGTTCGAATATGGGATCGACTACAGAATCGATTCACCCAAAAATTGATTCTCTCGTCGAGTCATACGTGGAATGCTCGTATATCTACGAGCATTCAACGCTTTTTCCACAGATTCGGCGAACGATGCAATTTTGGTGTAAATCAATTCTGTAGTCGATCCCCAACTCGACGAGTGACCCTGCCCCCCTTCTGGCCCGCTGCGCAAGGCGACGCCGGAGCTGGTCCGTTTCGAGCTGGGCGGCGGCGAGGTGATACCGGGCCTCGAGGCGGCCTACCTGGGAGGGGGGAAGATCGGGAATTCCGCCAAACCATGGAAATATTCAATTGGCTTACGCCATTCCTCCGACCCCCACAAGGAGTGAGTGTTTGAGGCGATCGTGGAAGTTATGTTTTAGGTCAGGAGCCTCCGGGATGCATCTGCGGGTCTCTCGGGATGCCTCTCTGGGGCCTCTTGGAGAATTCTTGGGGGCATGTGGGAGGCTTTGGGGGGCCTCATGGGGGCCTCTGGGGGGGCTTCTTGGGTGCGTCTGAGAGGCCTCTTGGGGCCTCTTGCAGGGCCCTCGGGGGCCTCTGGGGGGCTCGAGGGGCCATCTCGGTGGGAAAGTCTCGAAATGTCAGCTCGTACGCCCCTTCTTGAGCTTTCTTGTTGCCCTCTTTGGCCCCTTGAGGGGCTGTCTTGGGCCGTCTTGGGTGGCCCCTGGGGCGGTCTTAAGGTACCGCTGCTGCTATTTACCTTTCCCTCATCGCCACGGGAATGAGGCCGTATTGGTATCTTTTGCCCCCGCCACCCCCCACACACCAGATGGAGCGGTGACAACCGTTGGGTGAGTCAGAGGGGCTCTAGGGCGAGAGCACGCGCTTTTTTGCTTCTCGGGCGACTGGCACCTCCAGTTCCGAGGCCGTTCTGCGGCGGACCTGCGGTGGCACTGTGTATCTTCCAGTCCTCGGTCGGCACCGCCTAGACATCTTTATGATAAGTCTTCAGGAGGGGAAGAAACACAGACAAAATTAATCGTCGATTCCCCAGAAAGTATGGGAAAATATGGTAAGTGGGGGGAAGACAGAAACCCAGAAAATATGGGAAACTATGGGGAATCTGGTTATTTGTGTCTATTTATCTGTGTGTCCCAGTTTCCCTTCAAGTCTGCGTCGACCCCACACGGGCGACGCGCGCGTGCAGAACTCTTAACCGTGCAGGCTCCGTGGCCAGGCGCCTTCGGTCCATGCCGCCTGGGCACCGATCGTGCTGGACGGTGTTCCTAGGACTCCCCAGGGCGTCCTATGGATTCCCTAGGACTCCTAGGATTCCCTCGGGATTCTTATGGATTCCCTGGGATTCCTAGGATTCCCGTGGATTCCTATGCTTTCCTGGGGGTTCCGAGGGATTCCCTAGGAGGGAGGTGTTTGTGCTACATGCCATACGTTCGGCTCGGACGCGCGCCTCCGAGGAGGGCACACGGTTCTGCGCCCCCACGGAACAGTACTGCAGCTTTTGCAGGTCGCGCCGGCGAACCGTCCGGGGGACTTCTTCGGGGTTGTTTTCCTGACGAACCAACAACACACACCCATACCCATTGAGGGGTCGGAGAGGGCTATGGGTGCGTGTTGTCGGATGGGGGTCCCCGCTCGAACGGGAGCTTCCCCAGGGTCCGACAACCCGCACCCATACCCATAGCCAGTCCTCTCCCCAACGACTCCCCTATGGGTACGGGTGTGTGTTGCACGTTCGTTATTTCCCTCCCGGGTCCGTTTCTGACGGCGCGGGGTTGCTTGAAAGGCCAACGCGGGCCACAGTATCTGGGCAACACAAAACCGCGCCATGAAGGAAAGGGATCCTGAGGGAAACCGGTCTTGAGGCTTTTCTCCGCTGTGGGCCTTATTGGACCCTTCCGCGGGCCCTGGGGCTGTGAAAACATCGCCGGGATGAAGCACAGGCTCCCTGAACAGACCGTGGGTGCAGGACTCGCTTCCCTCAGGGCCCACTTCCGTCGTGGCAAAAGCCCCCAACGGGCCACAACCCCCCCCCCCCAGGGGCCACGCAGACGACTGGGCGCGGGGCAACCTCCCGGCCGCGCCCCCGCGCCAATCAGAGGGGAGGCATGGACCATCGCCAGGGCGAACGCAGTGGGCTGGGCCGACCCCGGTGGCACGCCCGAGCGTCACCCAGCACAGGACGACGCTCGAGCGTGCCACCGCCCAGGGATCCGCCCAGCCTACTGCGTTCTCGGCGGCGGCGGTCCCAGACTCCCGACGTCATGATTTGGATGTCTTCGCAGCGTCGGCATCCCCCAGAGCCACTTTGCATCCTGAGTATCTTGGTTGACGGTCCCGAGGCCTAGTGAGGGACCCCGGAGGCTGAAAATCGTGAGACACCGTTTTTGGTTGGTTATTATAAAAAATCTCGAGGGGCTCTCGGGTCCATGCCCCCCCCCGCGCCAGGCCGCGGTGGCCGAGATGTCCCTCGGCGAGTGCGCCGAGGCCAGCCCTGCGCCGACCCGCCCCCCGCGGCCGCGGGCCCCCGCCCGGCGCGCCTCCCGGTGCGCGCCGGCTGCAGGCGCGCGGCGGCGACGGCGACGACGACTGGCAACTTTCAAGCAGTGACGAAGCGTCTTGGCGAGCCTATAGGCCTACCAAACAATGTGCTAAGAACCTTTTGCGGTTTACACGAAACGTTCTCAGAACATTGCTGGCCGAGACCGTCTTGTTTCAACTCATCCGTGCTGTGTTCTAGGAACATTGTTTTTGTTATTCGAACATTTTGGGGCTCTAAGAACATGTCGTGGTAGGTCTATAGAAATGCCTGGACGGTCGGTCCCTGCTTAAACATTGGCGACTTCGCTAGCAGGTCATGGAAGTCTGTATGCGCTCGCAACTCCGTCTTTAGAGTGCGTTAGCGTCGACTGGCGTCTGGTAATCCATGAGATAGCGCTGACTTTGCGCCGATAAGCGTCGATTAGCGTCGATTTAGCGTTGATGTGGTGTCGACTAATGCAGACTAGCGCCGATTCGCAAAAGTCAACAAGACGGTATGGGAGGCTCCCGTGAGTTTCCGCAGAAGGTGACGACTTTGCCGACAACCCGCGACGGCGACCTAGAGCGTCAGGGCGGGGCTAGGATGGGGCTGGAATCGTTCCAGCGCGGCGCTCCGCGAAGACCGCGGCGCCCGCTATATCCTCCAGAGCCACTGGGTCTCAAATCAGGAGGGGAAGAAACACACAGACACAGTTAATCGTCGACTCCCAGGAAAATATGCAAAAATATGGGAAGTGGGGGGAAGACAAAACCCCCCAAGATCTGGGAAGATATGGGGAATCTTTTTATGTGTGTGTATTTATTTGTGTGTCCTGGGGCCCCTTCATCAAAGACCCCCGAATCATCCATGTCCGATTTGGGAGGGTGGCTGCCGTCGGAGGCAGAGACAGCAGGTGCAGGCTCCGAGGCGGGAGCTCATCGAGGCACCGTTCGTCGTCCTCCGTCGCTTGCCGCGCGCGAGGCTCCGACGGCCGCGCGGTGTCAGCACGGTGCTCGGCATCGCTCGGATGTGTGCATTTTTTTTCTCGGCGAGGACCCTCGAGGAGGAGGAGGAGGAGGAGGAGGAGGAGGAGGAGGAGAAGCATCTTGGGCCATCGAGCGAAAAATACACGCGCGAAGCTGACGACATGCACGCGGAGTGGCCGTCCGAGCGATGGCGAGAGCCATGAGGGGAAAACACACACACACACACCGACGCAAGTCATCGTCGACCCCCAGGAAAACATGGGAAAATGTGGGAAGTGGTGGGGGGTGGGAAGACGGCACCCAGAAAGCGTGGGAAGCTGTGGGGGCTCCTTGGATTTGTGCCTGCTGACCTGTGTGTCCCCGGGCGCCTGCAGTGACCTCTCGCCGGAGTGACCTTTGGTGCCCCCCCTTTGGGCGCCTTCAGGGAGTGCGGCGTGCGAGTGGCGCCGCGGTGCTCGGCAGCGCGGGGAGCGCGGTGGGGCCGCGGGCGGCGGCCCCCGCAGGAGCGGCAGGGGGAGGGTCCCAGACGGGGGCTTGGCGGCCTCCAGGAAGGCTTCCCTTCGGCGTCGGGAGGGGGGAAGAACGCACACACACACACACACACAGGCACAGAGACCCGTCGACGCTCTGGGGAGTGTGGAAGCTATGGGAGGCGGTGGGGAAGGCGAGAAGCCAGAGAGCAGGGGAAAATACGGGGGATCCTGGGATTCGTGCGTATTCAAAATCCTTGGAAAATCTTGGGAAAATTACAGGGGATCCTGGGAAAATCCTGGGAAAATGCGTGCCTATTCGTCTGTCTGTCCCTGGGCCCCTCCATCCTTGGCAGGCGGGACGGCCTGTCTTCCCAGGGGCGCCCCCTGGCCCGGCCCCCGGCGGGGCGGGGCCCCTCCTGAGCGCCGGCAGGGCGGGGCGGGCCAAGGTCAGGAGGGGACAAAAACACACAGACACAATTAATCGTCGATCTCCCAGAAAAGGTGGGGAAGTATAGGAAGTGGGGGGGAAGACAGAAAACCCAGAAAATATAGGAAAATATGGAGAATCTTTTTATTTGTGTGTATTTATTTGTGTCCCGTTCACAAGGGCGGGGCTCGTCCCTCGTGCCTCTAGCCACCCAGCAGCGGCCAGATGTCCGCCACGCTCGCAGGACAGGCCTCGAGGCAGCGTCGGGCTCGCCGTACGCATCGAGAGGCACTGGCAGTGCATCCTTTCGGCACCAGTGCGCCCGAGGCCGCGACCACACAGGTCGCCGCAGCGGAAGGCTGAGGCCCCTTCGTCACGGGCGTGCCTCATGGCCAAAATTTGCCGTGGTGCTCGCTGCAGGCTGTCGTCGTCGCCCTCTTCCTCCTCGTCCTCCCCCGCGACTGCTTCTGCATGTAAGATGCCTCACCGCTGATGCTGATGATGCTGCTGCTGCTGATGATGATGATGGTGAGGATGCTGAATATGCTGATGCTGGCGACGACGATTATGATGTTGGGTGGTGGTGATGGTGGTGATGATGATGCTGATGCTGATGATGCTGCTTCTGATGCTGATGCTAATGCTGCTGCTGCTGCTACTGCTGGCGATGATGTTGGTGATGATGGTGATGGTGGTGTTGCTGATGATCACGGTGATGGTGGTTGTGGTGGTGGTGGTGTTGCTGCTATTGACGACGATGATGATGATGCTGATGATGATGTTGATGATGATGACGAGGCGGATGATGATGAGGATGATGCTGATGATGCTGATGATCCTGCTATTGCTGATGGTGACGATGATGCCGATGATGACGATGTTAATGATGATGATGATGATGATGATGATGATGATGATGATGATGATGATGATGATGATGATGATGATGATGATGGTGATCATGCTGATGCTGCTACTGCTGATGATGATGAGATGCTGCTGATGAGGATGCTGCTGATGATGATGTTGACGATGATTCTGATGATGATGCTGATGCTTTTGCTGCTTATGCTTATGCTGATGCTGCTGCTGATGATGATGATGGTGGTGGTGGTGATGATGATGATGATGATGATGATGATGATGATGATGATGACGACGAGAAGGTGGATAATGACGTGGAGGGTTGGAAGCCAAATCGGCGGGCACGTCGGCATAGGGGGCGCGCAGGTAGGCACTCCCAGGAGGGAGAGAAGGAGGAACGGGATGGGGGAAGGTCGGTATGGGTGTCGGTCTGAGGCGACAATTTGCCGGTGGTGTCCAAAGATAATCGGGCTCAGGTGAAGGACGATGGCTGAACGGACACCACTCGGAAGTGGGCTCTGAGGGGGAGAGGAGGCGGCGCAGGAGGGGCAGGGGGAGGAGGAGGAGGTGGGAGGTGGGCTCTGGGGGGTTTCTTGCAGGTGTCTTGGTAGCTTCCTGGGGGCATATTGGAGGCCTCCTGGAGATTCTTTGGACTGAATGTGTACCTTTGAGGCCGTATTGGGGTATCTTTTGGAATTTTCGGGGGCCGAATTGGGGCCTCTCTGGTGGAGACTGAGGAAAAGAAGGACCCTCTGTCGAAAACACAGGGAGGGGGACAGCAGGCGGAGAGAAAGAGAAGGAGGAGGCGGAGGAGGCGGAGGAGGAGAGGGAGGAGGAGAGGAGGAGAGAGGAGGAGGAGGAGGAGGAGGAGGAGGAGGAGGAGGAGGAGGAGGAGGAGGAGGAGGAGGAGAGGAGGAGGAGGAGGAGAGGAGAGGAGGAGGAGAGAGAGGGAGGAGGAGGAGGAGGAGGAGGAGGAGGAGGAGGAGGAGGAGGAGGAGGAGGAGGAGGAGGAGGAGGAGGAGGGAGGAGGAGGAGGAGGAGGAGGAGGAGGAGGAGGAGGAGGAGGAGGAGGAGGAGGAGGAGGAGGAGGAGGAGGAGGAGGAGGAGGAGGAGGAGGAGGAGGGGGGAGGCGGAGGAGGCGGAGGAGGAGGAGGAGGAGGAGGCGGAGGAGGATATCTTGTACTCGGATGTCGCGTCTTGTTTCGGCGTGCGGGCGCCCGGTACCCTGCAAGGCATTCCGCGGGACATTTCCGTCCTCCAGTTTTTTTGCTCACGGCCTTCAGGACCCACACACGGTCTCCGGACGCCGACGTCGTGACGCGTTGGAGGTGCGAGCCCCGCCACCAATCGACCGCCCGAATCCTTCCGAAATGCGCTCTGACCATGCGTTCGAGTGGAACCCCGTCCTGGCGACGAAGCTCTCTCTGCAGACGCAGAAAAGGGTGAACACACGTACCGGCTCAACTCGAACCTGGAGCCTCGATTTTCCTTTCTCGAACCTTGAATTTCGAACTTCGAACCTTGATGTTCGTGCTTGATCCCTGGACCTCGATCCTCAAACCACGAACCTCCATCCTGGAACCTCGGTCCTCTACCCTCGAACCTCGAGCCTCGATCCTCGAACCTCGGTTCTCGCACCTCGAACCTCGATCTTCGGAGGATCGAGGACCTGGGAGAGAGGGCGAGGGGGCCGAGCGAGAAGGGGTCCAGGTGACGGTGGCGCCCCTGGCGGCCTACGGCGCCGAGGGCTACTTCGAGGCGCCGGCCAGCGAAATCTGGAATGGGGAATGGGCGACCTGGTGGGTAGCGCGATGGCGGTTACTGCCGGCTTCGAGGAGCACAACATCGATATCGACAGAATTGCTCGGGACTCCACGCGGATTTCTTGGGTCGGCGCTGGACTCCCCTGGCGGCGCCTCCAGCGCCTCCCCTGGCGCGCTCCGCGTGCCATCCAAGAGATCCGCACGCAGCCGGCTCCGTACACTTACGTTTATGTTCTTGTTTGTTCTTGTCTGCTTCCGCAGTCAGAAGCTGCCCAAACAGGTCCAGCCACTGTTTCGTAACCTACAGTGGAAACCCATGCCAAGAAACACCCTGCTTGCCTCCAGGGTGCCCTAGGTTTTGTTGGGTTTCGATGGTTTTGCTATGGGAAGCGTGACGTTCCCACACCAAAGATCAATGGACGTCCTGGGGTCTCAGGGTTGGGTTTCTTGTGGAATGTTTCTTGTGGTCGAGCTCCTACTGTACATGGTGGTTGGGCGGTCATGCAGGCGGTTCGCGCAGGACTCCTGTCCCGCTACCACCGCCACCATTCGGCATCACGGAACCGAGGTCAGGGACTTTGGTTCCATTTCTAGATGAGTCAAGACCGTTTTTGCATTCTGGCTCAACCACTAATGCCCTAGCCACCATTTCGGCAATTCGGACACCAGCATCAGTTTCCCCGGATGGGGGTCAGGAGCAGAGTTCCCTCTGCGTCACCCACACATACTAATACTATGTGTGCGTCGTCCCCCTAGGGGCGACGCGCGCACCGAGAAATCTCATATTATATGCGTCGTGGCGGGCGCTTTCTGGCCGCACCTCCCGGGAAACAATATGCTATATTATGGGTATACTATATGTTCGGGTCGGACGCGCGCCTCCAAGAAAGACATCTAGCATTAGCATATCTCTGCGCGTCCCATCATCACTTTTCCCAGAGGGGGTAAGGAGCAGAGGTCCCCCAGTATCCCGGATAGCTCGTAGAGAGCTAAGATGGTTTGAGATTAAGAAGCCGCAACCGCAGGGTAGTTCGGGAGGTCCTTCCAGCTTCCGGAAGAAATCCGAGGCGCGAGTTGTCGGAGCCTGCAGCTTGTGCTGGCAGGCCTTTTCTACGCGTTTCCCAGTACGCGTGCCCAGAAGCTCTTCACGAGGTCCTTCGGAAGCTCTCTCCAGGTCTTTCCAGAGATCTTCGACAGGCCTTCGCGCAGTCTTTTGTCGGGCCGAACGAAAGGGGGGGATAGGGACAGGGGGGGTACGAAATCTGCTGCGTGCAGCTGCTTTCGGCCTCGCCGCTGGGCCCATTCCTCGATACATGGGCGCCTCGCGGCGCCGGGAGGCGCGGGGAGAGTCAGCTGCGCGGGCTGCTTCTCTACCCTACCCTCTGCTGCCCCGCCCTTTCGCCCCCCCCCCCCCGACTTTGGCGCCCTGCCGTCGGGGCTTTGGGCCCCGCCAGCGTGGCCACTCGGAGGCGGGGCGCCCGTTGGTTCTCGAGCTCGGCGGGCCGCTCGCCGCCCACCTCTGCGAGCAAGAGCTGGCCACCCGCACCAGGCGATCGCAGACATGGCTCAGGGGGGCGTGTAAGCAGCGACGGGTCCCGTCTCCGTGGGGAAGCCGCGGGCTTCCGCCGCCGAGCGAGGCGGCACCGGCCGCATCCTGGGGAGGGCACCTCACCCCGGGTCCATGGGCTAGGCGACCGCGCGCCAGATGCATGGATTGCCAATCCATGTTTGCGCCCCCCCAACTATACCAAGCCTCCCCAGCCCAACCCGAAGGGCCAATTTTCCGGTTGGGGGGGGAGGGGGGTACGAGTTCCATGTTCCCCGCCGCCCCCACCCCCCCAGAGGGGTAAGGAGTAAGTCGGGCCTGTCCCTCTGCATGAGGAATGTCCAAATAGTCAGGGCATGATGTTTCGACTCTTTTTTGACTATTCTTGAGTCTCTCTTTTGACTATCTTTCACTATTCGCCCCACATCCGCCTGTGGGGGGCGACGTGCCCGACCGAAGGCGAGGAGCGGAGTTCCCCCCGCTCGTGGCCCGCCGGAGGTGGTGCGCCCGAACTCCGCGATCCTCGCCGACGTGGAGCTGCTGGGCTTCGCCTGAGAGCCCGGGCGGGGGCTGCCCAGGGGGGGACAGGTGGGAGGAGGGCCGGTCGAGGCGCCAGCGGCGGCCTTCCCCTGTGCGTCCTCTCGCCCTGCTTGGTGTGGGCATCCTGGAGGCTTTCGGGCGGGTGGCGACGGGGGTTGACCTGAGCAGGGGGCTGAAGCAGAGGGCGCCTTTTGAGGGGCCACACGCGAACCCTACCCCTGCCCCCCACGATTTCTGAGGGGGAGGGTGGGGTCCGCTTCGTTCGGGAGCTCCCGAGCGAAGTGAACCCCACCCTCCCCCCAGAAATCGAGCGGGGTAGGGGTAGGGTTCGCGTGTGGCCCCCTACTTTTCTTCACCCCTCATTTGCGTCACCCCCCACGGCCGCCCGCGCGAGGCTCCTCGTCGCCGCGTCTGGGACCCGCCTCGGCAAACGGGTCAGGATGTACCCTGGCAGCCGGAGGGGGAACAGGTGCCCATACCGCTATACCCTCGACCCGTTTTCTTCTTCCTGGGCCTCTTGGGAGGCCCTCGTCGCCACCGCTGGATTCGCCTCGAGATCCTGGTCAGAACGCACCCCGGGAGAGGTCTGGGGAGAAGTGGTATCCGTACCTTTTTTTCTCAGGGAGGGGTCCGGGTGTTGATTCTGAGCGGGTTTAGGCCCAAGAGATTGGAGCCTGGCACAAGTTGGCCCTCCTCCCAGAAGTGGGGAGGGGGCCTGGCCCTGTCAAGCGCTGAGGGATGGCCGTCCAGACCCCCACACTTATCAGGACTCGAAAAACAAACATCGACACAAGCATAGTTTCTCGGAGGTCCGCCAACAGTTTCTGTATGTGCAGTTATGTATTGCCCCTCCATGTCAGGACTGTTGTTGATTACCAGCCTGAAGCATGTTCCTACCCCGATGCTTGGCATCGCCTTATCTCGATGCCCGCCGGCCACGTGTACTCTGTATTGTTCCCAACCATCTTGTGGTGTTGGGTCCTCGTTTTGAAGAGACGGTGGCCCGCGTCTCCTCTCCTCCTCTTCTCCTCCTCTCCTCCTCCTCCTCCTCCTCCTCCTCCTCCTCCTCCTCCTCCTCCCACCATCATCATCGTCATCACCCATTTCGGCACACCCCTCACACGTTTCGTGGCCCCATAGGGAGCTCCACCGAAGGTCCCAGTGGGTGTGCCCGCATGCGTCCCGCACACCCATTTCGGCACACCCTTCACACGTTTCGTGGCCCCAGGCTCCACCGAAGGTGGGTGTGCCCGCATGCGTCCCGCACACCCATTTTGGCACACCCTTCATACGTTTTCGTGGCCCCATAGGGGCTCCACCGAAGGCCCAGTGGGTGTGCCCGCATGCGTCCCGGTGGGTTTCGGGAGCTCCACCGAAGGTCCCAGTGGGTGTGCCCGCATGCGTCCCGCACACCCATTTCGGCACACCCCTCACACGCTTCGTGGCCCCATAGGGGGCTCCACCGAAGGTCCCAGTGGGTGTGCCAGCATGCGTCCCGCACACCCATTTCGGCCCACCCCTCACACGCTTCGTGGCCCCATAGGGAGCTCCACCGAAGGTCCCAGTGGGTGTGCCCGCATGCGTCCCGCACACCCATTTCGGCACACCCCTCACACGTTTCGTGGCCCCATAGGGAGCTCCACCGAAGGTCCCAGTGGTGTGCCCGCATGCGTCCCGCACACCATTTCGGCACATCCCTCACACGTTTCGGCCCCATAGGGAGCTCCCGAAGGTCCCAGTGGGTGTGCCCGCATGCGTCCCGCACACCCATTTCGGCACATCCCTCACACGTTCCGTGGCCCCATAGGGAGCTCCACCGAAGGTCCCAGTGGGTGTGCCCGCATGCGTCCCGCACACCCATTTCGGCCCACCCCTCACACGTTTCGTGGCCCCATAGGAGCTCCACCGAAGGTCCCAGTGGGTGTGCCCGCATGCGTCCCGCACACCCATTTTGGCACACCCTTCATACGTTTTGTGGCCCCATAGGGAGCTCCACCGAAGGTCCCAGTGGGTGTGCCCGCATGCGTCCCGCACACCCATTCTGGCACACCCCTCACGCGTTTCGTGGTCCCATAGGGAGCTCCACCGAAGGTCTCAGTGGGTGTGTGCGCATGCGTCCCGCACACCCATCTCGGCCCACTCCTCACACGTTTCGTGGCCCCATAGGGAGCTGCACCGAAGGTCCTTGTGGGTGTGTATTTTCGGCACACCCCTCACACGCTTCGTGGCCCCATCGTAGCTCTGCCGAAGGTCCCAGTGGCACGGTCCGCATGCGCCCCCGCCATTTATTTCGGCCTACCCCTCACACGTTTCGTGGCCCCATAGGGGCTCCGCCGAAGGTTCCAGTGGAGCAGTCCGCATGCGTCCCCGCCACTCATGTCGGCACACTCCTCACACGTTCCGTGGCCCCACAAGAGCTCCGCCGAAGGTCCCATTGGCACAGTCCGCATGCGTCCCCGCCGCTCATTTCGGCACACCCCTCACACGTTTCGTGGCCGCATAGGAGCTCCGCCGAAGATTCCAGTGGCACAGTCCGCATGCGTCTCCGCCATTCATGTCGGCACACCCCTCACACGTTTCGTGGCCGCATAGGAGCTCCGCCGAAGGTCCCGGTGGCACAGTCCGCATGCGTCCCCGCCACTCATGTCGGCACACCCCTCACACGTTTCGTGGCCCCATAGGAGCTTCGCCGAAGGTCCCCGTGGCACAGTCCGCACGCGTTCCCGCCATTCATGTCGGCACACCCCTCACACGTTTCGTGGCCCGACATGAGCTCCGTCGAAGGGCCCAGTGGCATAGTCCGCATGCGTTCCCGCCACTCATTTCGGCACACCCCTCACACGTTTCGTGGTCCCACAGGAACTCCACCGGCGGTCCCCGTGGCGCAGTCCGCATGCGTCCCCGCCATTCATTTCGCACGCCCCTCACACGTTTCGCGGCCCCATAGGAGCTCCGCCGAAGGTCCCAGTGGCACAGTCCGCATGCGTCCCCGCCATTCATGTCGGCACACCCCTCACACGCTTCGTGGCCCCATAGGGATCTCCACCGAAGGTCCCCGTGGCGCAGTCCGCATGCGTTTCCCTTGCCCAGTACAGCGTTACGTGGCCCCATATGGAGCCCCACCGCAGGTCCCAGCCAGCCAGCTAGCTCTCTTTGCTCCGCGCAGCGGGCGACCCGCGCGCGTCGCTGGGACCCCTCTGGGGCGACCTGCGCGCGTCGCGGGGGCTCCGTGCTGCGTTCTGCCCAGCGCCTCGCTCGCCTCGTCGTTCTGCCCAGCGGCAAGAGCCTTGCCCGCTATCAGCCAGCCAGCTATCTCTCTTTGGACCGCGCAGTGGACGACCCGCGCGCGTCGCTGGGACCCCTCCGGGGCGACCTGCGCGCGTCGCGGGGAATCCGCGCTGCGCTGCGCCCGCAGCCTTGGACTTTTGACTGCGCGGGCAAATAGAGAGAGAGAGAGAGAGAGAGAGAGAGAGAGAAAGAGAGAGTAAAGGAAGGGGAGGAAGCGGGCGCGATCCTCGCGGGGGGGCGCGCCGACATTGGCGTCGCGGCGCTTTGTCATATTCGCATTCATGCACGTAGACTCGCTCGCGCGCAGATTCCTTCACAGTCAGACGCACGCGCGCAGATTCACCCGCGCTCAGTCTCCCTACGTACTCAGATCAATCGTTTTCGTTCGCGTTGTGTACCAAGCCACTCATGTCGGCACACCCCCAGCACGGTTCGTTGCCTCATAGGGATCGCCACCGAAAAAGTGAATCACTATTGCGGTACTCACACCTGCATATGGTTGGGTCCCCCGTCAGGTTTTTTTTTTTTTGACAGGGATGGTGGGGGGAGGCCGCATCGGGTTCGCTGCGCATGCTCAGAATTTGATTGTTTGTTACAAGGGATGGTGGGGGCAGAGTGTGTTTTGCATTTTTTAACAAGGGATGGTGGGGGGGGGGGTGCCCGCATGGACCTGGGTTGCCTCCCGGTCGCCTAGGGGAGGGGGCGTTTATTAATTGTGGTCAACCCTTCCCCGACGGGGAAGAAGGGAACTCCCTCAACCACCTATGTACGCCCAGAGGGCTGGTGGGATTACGACTGAATAGAATAACGCTCATACAACTAATACGACTAAACCTAATGCTACCCAGACTGATGACAATATGCTAATCATAAACGTATTACTGTTACCAATAATAGTAATCGTACTCAGAAATATAAGGAGACTAAGACAAAGGAGGAGGAGGAGGAAGAGGATTGTGCTAGGATTGTGCAACTTAGTACTTACGCAGATGGAGAGCACCACGCAAGCCGCCTTCCCCTGTGCAAGTTAAGACTTTCAAGGGCTTCCCTGTGGATGGATGGCGGCCCTCCCACAAACGCGTCAGTCGACCCTTGGCCGTCCGAGCTCGGGCGGGCTTACAGCCCTCCTTCACAAGGTTCGTCCACTTACATTGAGCGTAGGAAGCGCGTCGCCTGCAGAAAACAAAACTGGGGCGAAACACGAGGTGGTGTCCTAGCCCTTGTGCCTTAAGGATGCGTGCTTGTCGGGCTTCGAATTCGACAGATTGTGCGCCCGACGGCCCGCTGTGAGTCTGGATTGTGGCCCTGGGAGTGTGACGGTCCCTGGGGCCCACAGACGGGGAAGGGGGAGGCATCAGAGGAGGAGCAGGATTCGACTCGGCGGCCTGACTCGGGGCTGGTCCACTGATGCTGCTCGGTTCGACATCGGTAATCGTATCGACGACTTCGGACGACATTGCGCCGCGCCTGACGGCAAACTCCAGGGCATCTGCTACCATGGTATACTTCTCATGATACGCCTGACGCTGCCAGAGCGGGTGTGCGCACAAATTAGCCCCCTTCTTCGCGTATTCGTCCGCGAAGCGGTTGCCTTTGAACAGTCTCTCGCCAATCTCTCGCCGCTGGGCTCGAGTGGCGTGGGCCTTAATTTTTATTATTTGGATGGTCCTGGGGCCCAGCCCTCCAAGATCGTTGACCAGAAGCCAAAACTCTCGCCAGAGGTCGCTGTGTGCCCTGGCAGGGGACGAGCACCACTCCTCCCCCTGGACGTTCCGTCTACTACAGCCTGGCAGTCACAATAGATTTTGGGGGGCGACATCGCACTCCTCAGCACCTGAAGGATCGCGTACAGCTCTTACGGGTATATCCCTTGCCGA